CAGAGTGAGCCGTCACTGACCAACCACACGGAGTACCCCACATACCCCACACCATTCGGTGTCCTGTTCTACAGGTACATGTTCATCGTCATCTATAGCGTCATCTTCGCTACCTGCGTCACAGGTGAGTCATTTTTTTACCTGCGTCATAGGTCAGTCACTTTTATTTTTGACCTACGTCATAGGTCAGTCATTTTATTTTACCTGCGTCATAGGTCAGTCATTTTATTTTACCTGCGTCATAGGTCAGTTATATTTATGATCTATGTCATAGGAAAGTCGTTTTTCATTACCTGTGTAATGGGTCATTAAATTTATCACGTTATTTCACTTGTTTTCTGTGAGATTTTGATGTTTGGTAACAGTTAAATGTGTTTTTAGTTCTTAAGAATTTTAGATCTCTGTGTTTTCATGACATATTTTATTGCAGTTAGGATAATAACTAAACTTGATTAAGTTTGTCTTGTCTTGCCTCTGGCGACTTGTACAATTAAAGATAATTAACTAATTATTAATTAAAAACTACGACCATTAAAGTTGACTTGTGTTCATGTGAAGTAAACAAAATATTACAATTTTCAAGGCATTAGTTATGAAGACATCCAACGCTGAAAAATTCGGGCTAAAATGTCTAGCGGCGAACTACGAAACTGGGATTATGCTGCACGATCTGATTAAAAATGTCATTAGTTAAATTGTTCGCTGATTCTAAAAGTTCGTGTCTCATGTTGTTCTGGCCGAGAGAAATCTCGGTGAGTTGGTTACCTGAGGTACAACAGTAATCTAGTTACTTTATGGGAGTGTACTCGGGTTACGTTAGAGTGCTGCTTATGATAGCAGTCCAGTGTTGCGTTCAGTTTTTTCCTCCTGGGGGGGGGGGGGGGACACTTGAAATTTTTGGGTGGGGGCGGACTAAATTTTCAGGGTGGGAGGGGGGAGCGGATACTGGTAAAAGTACATGTTTTCTTTATAGATTCGATTTCGTTTGGGGTGGGGGGCGTTAGACGTTCTTCCAAGGGGGGGGGGGGGGGACGAAGAGATGCCTGGAAGAAACCTCTGTAGCAGTCACACGTTTAATTACAATTATTGGCGACCTCGCGACAATGTCTGTTTTGATAAATATAATAAAACAATTATTTTAGGCTCATAAGGTTCATTTTAGGGCCTGTTTGATCTGGAATATCATCTGCTGGACCTAGTAATCCAGGTAATATCTTGTCGTCTGTCCGTCCCTTTAATCCCAGGCGAATTATCTAATCATCTGATTGTTAAATTAAAGAAAACACAATCAAATTGTTATCAAAATGACATAGACGACATCAGTCACGAAACTAATTTGGTACTGTAAATAGGGATTTTTGTTTTCTGTACTAGATTCAGGAAAATAATTTTTCAAAATTTCATTTGGGACATTTGTTTTCTATCCATTGAGTGCATATCTGCACCTGTCTTAAAAAACGTAATTCTTTTGTTTATCATCTAATTAATTGAAAGATTGATTGTATAATAACCGCAAGGAAAACACTATACTTTGGTGATTCTGTCTTCCAAGAAATTATAATTACAATAATGTAAAATACGGTCGACTATGTTACCTGGATGATCGACTATGTTACCTGGATGATCGACTATGTTACCTGGATGATCGACTATGTTACCTGGATGATCGACTATGTTACCTGGATGATCGACTATGTTACCTGGATGATCGACTATGTTACCTGGATGATAGACTATGTTCCCTGGGATCGTCGCCAAATGTTGCCGTGGATAGTTGACTATTTGAATGGAATAATACTAATAATGATTGGTGTTTATTACATTCTTCACACAAACCGTTCGATAACAATTTGACTGGCATGGTACGCTTGCCCCTCCCCTCCCCCTCGCACCTCGACGACTGGCCTCACACAAAAAACCCAACCCGGCATGTTAGATCTGTTGATGGGCACACGGCAAGATTCAATCCGGCAGATCTGTTGATGGGCACACGGCAAGATTCAATCCGGCAGATCTGTTGATGGGCACACGGCAAGATTCAATCCGGCATGTCACTTGATGGGCACACGGCAAGATTCAATCCGGCATGTTCGATCTATTGATGGGCACACGGCAAGATTCAATCCGGCATGTCATATCTGTTGATGGGCACACGGCAAGATTCAATCCGGCAGATCTGTTGATGGGCACACGGCAAGATTCAATCCGGCAGATCTGTTGATGGGCACACGGCAAGATTCAATCCGGCAGATCTGTTGATGGGCACACGGCAAGATTCAATCCGGCATGTTCGATCTATTGATGGGCACACGGCAAGATTCAATCCGGCATGTTCGATCTATTGATGGGCACACGGCAAGATTCAATCCGGCATGTCAGATAGGTCTAGAGCCTATTTGTTCCTCTAAAAAAAAACGATAATTGTAAGAGAATTCATGGATTGGTTGTGTAGGTAGGTCAAGCCTTAAAATAACCAGCGTATTGACGGTCTGAAAAGTCTAACAAGCGGAAAGTAATCAATTCATTATGTTGATATTGACCGAGAACAGACTCGTTGTTTCACAAATAATTGGGTCAAGTTATTTTTAAAAGTAGAGCATCTTTTATATCTTTAAGTAGGAAGTAAAGTAGATAAAAGATTGTTGCAGTCATCGTAATGAGCACGTGACATTTAGAGCCTATCATGCATTATGCCATTTCGTATGTTGTTTTATACTTTAGTTTTGAAAACTCCTTTATTTACTAGCGAACTCAGAAATCGACGTTAACATTAATGAAAAAATCTGGAATCGTTATGGTATTGTTCTATATCATAACTATTTAACAATGATTTCAAAAATCAAAAATAAAAAATCAAAGTACATGTGAAAAGTTAAAGATATAATAGTAAAATTCAATACAAAAAAAAAAAGTGAATCAACTTCTGGAATTTGTACAAGAGAGATTAACCTAGTCCCGGAACAAAAACTCACCATTTTTATATTTAGCCTCAGTTTTCTATTGGTTGGGATCGCGTGCTGTCATCAGATAAACCTTTACCACAACTGTTGTGTTCGATGCTCGTGTAAACATCACGTGACCCAGCCAGTTGGAAACATCTTTAAATTTGACGGTCTGGAATTTTCTTCTGTCCTCTCTATACAATTCTAACCTTGACCTTTTCCACATACCTCGTCATCGATCACTGCCAAGACTACATCCCCCACCCACCCCACAAAAAAATGTCGTCTGTAGTTACTCAACTCTCATTGTGTAATTAAACCTGTAGTTAAAGGATTAAGGATTACTGTCTGTAATATTTTGTTAATCTGGTGATGACGAACTGCCGACACATAACAAATTTGTTTTTCTTGTGGAAATTTAAAACACCTATTTTGTTTATAAAATATTCCTCTACCTAAATACTAGCTCACTAGCTGGTAACAATGTAACATGGGTAGTGGTAATATTTAGACAGTGATGGGTAACGTACTCGGATGTCAGTCATTCGCTACGTTTGATGTCACTAGAACTAGGCTTCATAACCTGAGCTAAATTTAAATCCTGACAAATGTTAAACATGACGAGAACAAAACCATAACAGTCTCAATTACTGGAACAAAACCATAACAGCCTCAAACAGTCTCAATTACTCGTCTGGTCCTGGATGAAAGGGACGATAATGTGGAAACAGGTCGGAGGATACAGGCTAAAAATAGAACAAGTGGTTGGAGGGGTTGGGCTACAGCTTTTGACCTCAGAGATCGCTCGGTCACGTGGTTGGGGGGGGGGGGGGAAGAGGGGGGGGGTTAATATGTGGGGTACGGGGTGGGGGGAGGGGGCCAGTTGGGATACAGTGGGCTTGTAGTATGGGGTGAGGTGAGATGAAGGAGGCATTTTGTGACACAAAGGTACTGGTATTTTAGGAGTGGGGTAGGTGTGTGATGAGAGTGAGTGTATTAGAAGGTTTTTTTGTTTTGTTCAACACACAAAAACAAAGAATAAACTAAAAAATTTAGCAGCACAAGTCCCAGAATTGTCTAAATTTTAAAACAAAATATGGGATTTTCCACACGGCATTTGTTAGATTTCATGCCCTTTCTCTGAGCCAGTAAAAAAACGAAACTGTTTCACAACTTTTAATTTTTGAAAAAGAAACCCTGTTCTCCTCTCGGTTGCATAAGGACCGGGTTTATTTTATTCAGGTTTTCCATCAAACATTTTCTTACTTTTAGTTGAAGTAATTTTAGTGATTACGTTTAGACTATTTCAAGTCTAGTCACCTGAACTTGTTGTGATAGTGAATCGTTTGATGTAGTATCAGGTTTAGGTTAAAGGGATTTTACTCTGTCCGACTCTAATCATTGTCCGTTTATAATTAGTCGTTTCTGTTGGTACATAGAAAAAAAAATGTTTTAAAAATAAAACAGACGTTATTATCGAGAGTAGCGATGGAGAAGAAGTTTACGAATATTACTTTTACAACCGCTCGCTTCAAATGACTGAATCGATGAGCAATTTTTTTCAGAATCCATCTTTTTATCAATTTATTTCTCAACGACGGCTAAAGGCGGATTTAATTGAACTTATCACATGACTATTTAAATGGCCGCTTATCAGCCCCGGAAATATAAGTCGGGGATGAATGTCATTACAAGGTCATTACAAGGTGATTACTAGGTCATTTCAAAGTCACGTCAAACAGAGCGGGAAATGATCTAATTTTATATTCTGAATTGCGTTAAGCGACATTTATCTGTAACAAGTTCAGTGGCACCAACAGTAGCACCAACATGTTCAGTAGCACCAACAGTAGCACCAACAGTAGCACCAACAAGTTCAGTGGCACCAACAGTAGCACCAACAGTAGCACCAACATGTTCAGTGGCACCAACAGTAGCACCAACAAGTTCAGTGGCACCAACAGTAGCACCAACATGTTCAGTAGCACCAACAGTAGCACCAACAGTAGCACCAACAAGTTCAGTGGCACCAACAGTAGCACCAACAGTAGCACCAACATGTTCAGTGGCACCAACAGTAGCACCAACAAGTTCAGTGGCACCAACAGTAGCACCAACATGTCCAGTGGCACCAACAGTAGCACCAACATGTTCAGTGGCACCAACAGTAGCACCAACATGTTCAGTGGCACCAACAGTAGCACCAACATGTTCAGTGGCACCAACAGTAGCACCAACATGTTCAGTGGCACCAACAGTAGCACCAACAAGTTCAGTGGCACCAACAGTAGCACCAACATGTTCAGTGGCACCAACAGTAGCACCAACATGTTCAGTGGCACCAACAGTAGCACCAACATGTTCAGTGGCACCAACAGTAGCACCAACATGTTCAGTGGCACCAACAGTAGCACCAACATGTTCAGTGGCACCAACAGTAGCACCAACATGTTCAGTGGCACCAACAGTAGCACCAACATGTTCAGTAGCACTAACAGTAGCACCAACATGTTCAGTAATAGCACCAACAGTAGTACTAACAGGCTCAGTAACACCAAGAGGTTCCGTAGCACAAACAAGTTCAGTAGCACCAACAATAGCACCAACAGTAGCACGAACAAGTTCAGTAACACCAACAAGTTCATTAGCACCAACAGTAGCACCAACAGGTTCAGTAGCACCAACAGTAGCACCAACAGGTTCAGTAGCACCAACAGTAGCACCAACAAGTTCAGTAGAACCAACTCTCTAAAATATATGATTAACTTAACTTCACGACCTGAAGAATGTAATGAGACCCATTAGCCTACACAGGGAAGTTATGCAATAGACTCTTTCATCCCATACATCTAACATCTGTGTTAACAAATGCTCTCCCCCCTCAATCAACCGATTTTGACTTTTAATAATTGCTCCTTAAATCCTATCAAATGACCTTTGACCCTGAGATCATCAGAAATGCGGTCATTAAATATGTTGTAGTTACACGAAACATCAAGTTACAAATAGGCTACAATCTTGATGGTTTTATGACAAACTCAAACAATTTCAACTGCGTGAAACTATGTATACAAACTTATTTTTTGTGCGCTAAAGTGATATTGATTTTGATTGAAAACTGAAACATTTGTTAGTCGGCTTAAAAATATCTTTACGCATAATTTTACTATTGAATAATACATATTATATAATAATAATTATTATTATATTAATTTTTATGGGTATTGAATTATCAACCCTTATGTAAATTCTTTTACTTCATTTTTTGGCACAAAATGAAACCTTGAAAGATGGTTAATTTTTTATTACATATAATTTAACTTTTTTTATTAACCGCAAAACAAAAGACAAAAAATATTAGACAATACGCCTTTAATTTTATTATTTTATTTCTGACTCTGCCTTATCTGCCCTTAAGTTTATAAAAAAAAAACAACTTTAAATTGTCTGTTCACGACTTAAATGGAGCGAAAACCTTCAATAAACATCTGGTGTTTCTGTTTTTACAATTTACAGACATCACCCAATTATCCTTGACCCTGGCGGATAAAGCTTCAATTCAAACAAAATAAACACGTTATTTAACACTTCATTACGTAGATAACCATTAAGTCGAAATTTTAAGTTCTAGTCATAACAAACAAGCTATAAAGAAACTGAAAGTTGATTTTTGCTAGGTCAGTCAATACTGAACGAAAACGAAAACAAACTTAAGCGAGAAAATATTTGCGGATCATTCGAATTTTCGGCGGATCTTTTCGTTAAAAACGAACTCAGGTGACAGCCAAATCAGAATGCTACAGACGTACTAGAAAGCCTGACGGAAGTCCATTTATACATTTTTACGTATGTCAGTCAAATATTCGATTCTATTGCGCGGGTGGGTGGAGGGGGGGGGGCGTGACTTGTGGTGTAGATAAAAGGCTGGGTAAACTAATAATGTTTAAATACAACAATCTATCTATATATATAATTCTCTTCTGGGAGACGTTAGAAAACAAGCTGCAAACGTGCCTTACAATCCCCTATCTTCCTCTCTGTCATTATCACTACCACCCCCACCCCACCCCCTACATTGTCTGGTGAGCTGTGGTCACGTTAATGTTTACAAATCGTAGACGGGTTTAGTGACGGCTATCAGGGGCAGATAATTTAGTTTGAATTTAATTTTACACTTACAGGAGGTTACTAAGAGGAGGCTGCTTTCACGGGGGGGGGGGGGGGGGGGGATGTAGGGTAGGGGTTGGGGGAAAGGGAGGGGGGTTAGTGTTTTAAAGCAAATATTTTCAATGGCAGCATTTGTACTGTCGAATTCACAAATTATGAATTACTGAAAAGTAGAAAATAAAACAACTAAATTGCGGCGTATGATACGCCGCGGGGCGGCTCGTATCTATATAATTCTCTTCTGGGAGACGTTAGAAAACAAGCTGCAAGCGCGCCTTGCAGTCCCCTCTTCCTCTCTATCGCTACCACCCCCCCCCTACCTCACATGGTTTCGTGAGCTGTGGTTCACGCTAATTATTTACATTTTAAAATCGTAGAGCGGGTTTGGTGACGGCTATTAGGGGCAGATAATTTAGTTAGAACCGATTTTAAACTTAGAGAAGGTAACTAACAGGAGGCTGCTTTCACGTGGGGGGGGGGGGGGGTAGTGTTTTTAAGCAAATATTTTCAATGGCAGCATTGGTACTGTCGAATTCACAAATTATGAATTACTGAAAAGTAGAAAATACAACAACTAAATAGCGGCGTATGATACACCGCGGGTCGGCTTGTTTTATATAAATATGAAAAAATACACCTTTAGTTTAAATATCTAAATTACGATACCCCCCCCCCCTCCTTTCCCCAACCCCTAACCACCCCCGTGAAAGTAAACTCCTCTTAGTTACCTCCCCTAAGCTTAAAATCGTTTCAAAATAAAGTATCAGCCCCTAATAGCCGTCACTAAACCCGGCTCTACGATTGTAAACATTTATCGTGAACCACAGCTCACCACACCATGTAGTGGTGGGGGCGGTAGGGAGCGCGCTTACAGCTTGGTGTTTTCTATCGTCTCTAAGAAGAGAATTATATATAGATCTATAGATGCTTTCATTTTGGCCAAAGAAAACATTTTGTTAAGGTTAGCTTCAAGGTTAAATTAATCACGACGGGCTAATGTTTGAGACTGATAATTAGGTTGATTATTAGAACCAGGGTTAGGGTAATATCTCTACGGACGTGACCACAAAATGCATTGCTTTTGTCTGCCTCTAGTTCATTAGGATAAGGTGATCACAGTTCTAATTCCGTTAAAATATCGAATCTCGTGAATCTTACCGATCCTGCCAAACACAAATGACTGACACATACTGACATTTTACACTGATAAATTATATTTAACACAAATAACTGAAATTTGACTCGTCCTACCACTGAAATTTAACACACATGATTATGGTAACACCTTTATTTTGTAACACCACATCATTTTTCTAAAAATTGAAACACACAATATCAAATATTTCCTACAGTATCACATATTTTAATTGAACTTGAAAATGGGTAAAATTAAGAAAAAAAATATGGGGTTTAGACATTTCACATTTTTGAGAACCTTTCCCTAGACTTTAATATCGGTGTCCTCGAGACGGACTAATTAAACAAAGACAAAGTTAATTAAATGAAAGACAACTTTGTTTGTCTTTGTTAATCCACTGTCTGTTGGATGTGCTAATACAGTTTTTCACTTTTGGTGTGTAAAAAGATTTGCCCACAAATGGGAACAAATGAAGGTAAAGGGGTATTTATCAAGTGACATTGCCACAATCCTTTTCTTTAGAATATTTATTCCAATTATTTAAAAATAAACTCGATTGTTTAAATAGAATTAAGGTTTTAAATCTAATTATTCTATTTGATTTCATCTGTTTGTAGATTTACAATAAAAATTTCACATTTTTGAGTTGAACGAAAGAAAAATTAAGATGATAATCAAATATGGAAATTTGCTGATGCACACTTTGTCACGTAATTCATCTAACATCTGTCAAGTAATTCATCCAATATCTGTCACGTAATTCATCTAACATCTGTCACGTAATTCATCTAACATCTGTCAAGTAATTCATCCAATATCTGTCACGTAATTCATCTAACATCTGTCACGTAATTCATCTAACATCTGTCAAGTAATTCATCCAATATCTGTCACGTAATTCATCCAATATCTGTCACGTAATTCATCTAACATCTGTCAAGTAATTCATCCAATATCTGTCACGTAATTCATCCAATATCTGTCACGTAATTCATCTAACATCTGTCAAGTAATTCATCCAATATCTGTCACGTAATTCATCCAATATCTGTCACGTAATTCATCCAATATCTGTCACGTAATTCATCCAACATCTGTCACGTAATTCATCCAATATCTGTCACGTAATTCATCCAATATCTGTCACGTAATTCATCCAATATCTGTCACGTAATTCATCTAATATCTGTTACGTAATTCATCTAATATCTGTTACGTAATTCATCTAATATCTGTCACGTAATTCATCCAACATCTGTTACGAATTTCATCTAACATTTATTATTTAATTTATCCAACATTAAAATTGTAAAAAAAAAATTAAAAAATTTAAATTGCAATTTTCCTAAAGCGGGTAGTAACTTTTAAGTGAAGCTCTAATGTACTTTAATATAAAATTGTATGTTAATCCCAGCGTTCATTTATGTAGAAAAACTAGATTGTCCCCCTTATATTTCCATCTATCCCGCGTCACTTGTAAATGGAAGAGTCTAGATCAGATTAAAGGAACAGGTTCACGTTAAGACTGGGGCTCATACCACATGACAGGGACGGTAACTCGTATCACTGCACAAGTCTTTCTTTGAATTATCATTTATTGATTACCTCTTCCTGCGACCTTTTCGCACCCATCTTTGTTGGCAAAGGCCAAGAGAAACACAATTTCTCCCGCTCTTTCACCAGCGAAAAAGACAAATTTTAAAAATAAGTCTAAGTGAGCCAACTAACATATAAAACAGAACCAATATGTTAACTTTTTTTTCTCTAACTGTTCTTACTGATTTACGTAGCTATACCGCTAGAAAAATGCTGGATTGTTAAATTAAGATAAGCAACTCCTACTGTCTAGATGTTTTAGCGCGGTAAGAAGACAGTCTCATTAGCTTTGTTATACTTGATGTATTATAACGACGCCATAGTTCTTAAGGTAGCGGCGTGGCCAAGAGGTAGTACGCTAGACTACTGCTAACCTGCTAACCCAAAAGTTTAAATCCGGGTTAAGGTCAGTAGAACGTCACTGAGTCCACTCAGCACTAATTGGTACCTAATTCACGTTAGGGAATGAAAAGACGACCGGTTATAGTGTTGACCACATCAACCCTTCATATATCGAGGTCTTTAGCTCCATGGGAACTTGCTTTAATAACTTTCATGTATTCAATCTTTGAAATGTGAACACAATTTACATCAAACATAATGATTGGAAATTTAATAGGGATAAGCTGTTGTAGATGGGACGTTGGAAATAAGTAATTAGCAAAGACAATGAGAACATCATTAGCATAATTACCGGCTTTCTCCGTTTTCAAGAGTTCAGATATATGGGTAAGAAAAGAGAAAAACATTGATATACATGTAAATACTCGCCAAATACATTTAAAAAAAACTGGATAAACAAATAATCATTTAGAAATTTTTTTTTTTTCAAAATCAAGAATTGACAAGTAAATTGCCCGAATCAGCATAAATAATCAGCCACGAGCGGATATGTAAGCGCACGCCGGAACATGCATTAACATGCGCATTGCTGCCACTGCGCATGTTGTTAATTTGCATGATGGGAATACGCTTGTCAGGGCGTTTTACATTGTTGGTAATGTCTGCCTTAGTGCAAGGCCGATGTAATCAGGTAATGTCTGCCTTAGTACAAGGCCAATGTAATCAGGTAATGTCTGCCTTAGTACAAGGCCAATGTAATCAGGTAATGTCTGGTTAGTGCGTGTGGTTAGTGTGTGTGGTTAGTGTGTGTGTTTAGTGCGCGCGTGTGTGTGGTTGGTGGGTGTATTAGTGTGTGTTGTTACTGTGTGGTTATCTGACTGACGTCAGTGAGTGAAGCCAAAAATGTTGCTAATTTAAAAAAAAATAAGATCACCATTCCGTGTTTTAAAAATGTCTTGATGTGATTGTTTGCCCTGGTAACGAAGGCGCCCTTGACGTTCTTAGCCCGTGGCCAGATGGCCGTCTAAATTTGAAAATGTGCAGGAAAACCCTTTAAACGTGAGGACAGAAAAGTCAATTCTTATCGCCAAAGCTAGAGGCTGCTTCCATATAAGGGTTGCAGCTAATGGGAAGAACATGGCTGGAAAAATAGCGCCGTTTTCAGGGTTGTTTCATAACTCTATCGTGTGATCAATGTGGTCCTCCACTATATGATGTCCTAGTTCAATGTGGCCCACCACTTAATCCTGCACTAGTCCACTGTGGCCCACCACTTAATCCTGCACTAGTTCAATGTGGCCCACCACTTAATCTTGTACTAGTCCACTGTGGCCCACCACTTAATCCTGCACTAGTTCAATGTGGCCCACCACTTAATCTTGTACTAGTCCACTGTGGCCCACCACTTAATCCTGTACTAGTTCAATGTAGCCCACTACTTTATCCTGCAGTGGTCCAGTGTGGTCCACCAATTAATCCAGCACTAGTCCATTGTGGTCCAGTACTTTATCCTGCAGTAGTCCAGTGTGGTCCACCACTTAATCCAGCACTAGTCCATTGTGGTCCAGTACTTTATCCTGCACTAGTCCATTGTGGTCCAGTACTTAACCCTACACTAGTCCAATACAGATCAGTACCTAATCATGCAATAAAACAGTATAGTCATGACTTAAATGTTTAGCATATTGTGTACTAGAGAAGTGATAGTTTAAATAAAACTGTGTACGTGTATGTTTGGAACTAAGCAGGACTGCAGGGTTTCAAAATGGAGGAATAGTTTACACGATGTTTTTGATACATTTTGTATTTAACATCACTTCACTAGCTGTGGTATAAACACTAACCTCAGTCCTTAGTCTAATGACATGAAAGCTAACCTTAAACCTGAACATTAATCATTGGAACAGGCAAATATACTGTACTTAATTACATGCTTTTTACATGAGCCGAACATCAACTTATGGAAACGTGTCCTCGTGGATTAGCACTCCGGAAAACCCGATTTGTTTCGTGTACTGATGACGTAATAAGTGTATCATCAAATGAAATCTTTACCCCGTGATGACCTGGCCCAAGTATCATTTCTGCAAGCCTTACAATATTGTCGTTAGGGGATGGTTGTCGATTTAATCTCATTAAAAGGTTAACATAATCCCATCCAAAGGTAATTTAGTTTGATCAAAAGTTACAATTAACCTCATCAAAAGATAAATTTAAACGTATCAATAGGTAAATTTAATCTTTTCAAAATGTTCATTTAACATCATCTGAAGGCGAATTCAACATTATCAAAAGATAAATCCAACCTCCCCAAAACGTCAATTTTAACACGTTTATTCCCAATACCTTCCGGAGTTTCCCGTTTTATACAAAAAATCAATACAATTAACTAAAATTAGATTTACACCCCCCCCCTACTCACACACCTCCGGTATTTGAGTCTCGCTTGGTTCGCGCCCAAGTTGATTTAAATGGCGTTAAACTTGACTCCTCGGGCGCTATGACGTCAGACGACGGCATTTGCATGCAGACGGGTCATGAGACGGGCAAATATTGCAGACGATAACACGTCTGCACTGATGTCACCCCATGCAGATGTCTGGAAAAGATTTTGATGACATCTTGATGACATTTTGATGACACGTCTACGAGTCTCGATGAGTGTGCTTTGAAACGCAGATAATGACCTGACCATTCCAAATGTTGAAAGTGGGATTTGTGTTCAAGGTCACACACGTCTTCCGTCCACACAGGTCATCAGGTCAAATGGTCATCAGGTCACATAGGTCATCAGGTCACATAGGTCATCAGGTCACGTAGGTCATCAGGTCACATAGGTCTTCAGGTCAACATTTCACATAAGTCATCATATCATGAAGGTCATTCTATCAACAACGTGAGAAGGTCACAGATCAAGTCATCAAGGTTATCAGGTCACCAAGGTCATCAAGTCACAAAGGTCATGAGGTTACCAAGGTCATCCTGTCTCCAAGGTCAGATAGGAGATAAGATCGCCAAGGTCATCAGGTCACACAGGTCATCAGGTCACATAGGTCATCAGGTAATACACGTCATCGTGTCACAGAGGTCGTAGACTTGTGAGGACGTGAGAAAAAATATCGAAAGATGGGATGTGTTTCTAGACAACTAGAGATGAATAGACTAATTGAATTACTCCAACAAGGGTCACCGTAAAGGTCACGCGTGTCAGCCTAGATCAGGGTCAAGGCTACTGCTTAAACGGTCACGTGATCTGTGGACCAGGAAGCAACAGAAATAAATGTTTATACAACTTTTTATGGTACAAATTTCCTAGTTTTAGTGAGATATCTTTAAAAAATAATAATTTTAATTTAGATAAACAAACCGCGACATGTCCGTAGATTGTGTTGTATCTGACGCTAGACCACCCCCTTCCAAAGCTGTGCATGGTTTATTTAAAGATTCTTTGAATGGGTGTATCACTGATGTAAACTACAGACATCATCATAAATACAGCATTGAATAGAAACTACAGACAACATAATAAATACAGCATTGAATAGAAACTACAGACTTCATAATTTACAGCCTTGAATAAAAGCTCCAGACAACATAATTAGTTCAACATTAATCAAATATAAAGTTCAAACATCATAATTAGTAAAACATTGTTTTTACAAAGTTCAAAACATCATAACTCGTACAACTTTAAACATAAAGTACACATCATCAATTGTACGCAATAGAAAAGAGCTATCTAACATACACACAACTTTGATACATTATCTACACAACATCACATCAACAGTTATTGACACACCACTCCACCAGCCACAGAAAATAACTATAAAACATCAACCATCAGAGTCCACTACATCAAAACATCATAACCACACAAATATCTATTGTAAACGTATTCTTATAATGTCATTTCATTCCACTTGATATAGACAGAAAAACATTTTAAACAATTGTTACCAAATTTAGATTTGAAGGAATTTTCCAGAATTGCATGAAATTTTTGTTTTAAAAACGCTAATGGAGGCGAGCGAGTTGACGAGATTCCTTCCATAATGTTGTTGTCATGGAATAAAAACGTGCTTTTTAGATTTAGACCGTAAAAAAAATAAATAAATAAAAACTTAAGCCTAAAATTAATTTAGAAATTTTATATTTTTAGAATAAATGCTATAAAAGTTGCAAATCCAGAGAACTTGAAAATAATTTGTTGAGTTTAAGGCTACATTTCTATTTATTTTCATCAAGCCTAAGTTATAACCGGATGTTTCACTTTCGTAAGACAAATATTGATTGGCTGGACAGTAACTTAGTGATCGATAACTATTTGTTTACAAAACTTTGCAGATCAAGTTTTTAAATAAATATGCAAATTTAAAACCCCATGACCTAGTTTTCTATTTTTAGCTTACAATGTGTACAATAAAATCAATGGCGGCCTATCCAATAGCAGGATGCCATTGTTTATGTCGCCATTACACGTGAAAACCAAATTGTTTTTGCTTTTTTTTTAATTTTTATTTAGTTACCGAAAATATTATAAACATCAAATACATCCAATCTTTAGTAAAGTCCGAAAAAAACCAGACAGACAGGATTTTATAACCATATTAATTGTAACTACGCTGTGCATGATTTTTAAATGAATTTATACACCTCTCAAATACCTTTGAGACTTTTCTCGCTCGTGTCCATTGAAAATTTTGAAGTAATTTTCATCATATTAAAACGTTCATGATTATTTTTTATCGCTATTTATAGACAATTCATGATATTGAAACCAGAATGAATTATTTAACTTCTGTCGAATCATTTTTTTTAAATTTTCACTATACTATTTTAGAAATTTATTTATGAAACGTTACTAAAACTAATTAGCAAATGTAATTTGAATATCCAAAAACAGAAATATCAACTTATTTTCAACAAGATCGAACTGTTCGGCTATTAGCCTGTATGAGGGTTTGTGTGGCGATTAGCCTGTATGAGGGTTTGTGTGGCGATTAGCCTGTATGAGGGTTTGTGTGGCGATTAGCCTGTATGGTGGTTTGTGTGGCGATTAGCCTGTATGGTGGTTTGTGTGGCGATTAGCCTGTATGGTGGTTTGTGTGGCGATTAGCCTGTATGGTGGTTTGTGTGGCGATTAGCCTGTATGGTGGTTTGTGTGGCGATTAGCCTGTATGGTGGTTTGTGTGGCGATTAGCCTGTACTGGGGTTTTTGTGGCGATTAGTCTGTGTGGGGTTTTTGTGGCGATTAGTCTGTGTGGGGTTTGTGTGGCGATTAGTCTGTGTGGGGTTTGTGTGGCGATTAGTCTGTGTGGGGTTTGTGTGGCGATTAGTCTGTGTGGGGTTTGTGTGGCGATTAGCCTGTGTGGGGTTTGTGTGGCGATTAGTCTGTGTGGGGTTTGTGTGGCGATTAGTCTGTGTGGGGTTTGTGTGGCGATTAGTCTGACATTTGTCTGACATTTGTCTGGCGATTAGTCTGGCCATTGTTATGAAGAAGGAAATCACGAATTAGGTGAAGTAGAGTCACGCGCGCTACATCGATTGCTAGCAGACGACAAACAAGCGTGCTCATACTTTTTGTGAAGTGATGTCCTTCATTCAGCTGTTGGGTGGCAAACGTAAGAAAAAGGTGATGTTGGGTACACCTTACATCAAAGGGAGGGGTGTGGTGGGGGGGGGGGGGGGGGATCCATGTTAGGGAAGGGGACAAAATCATTGTTAGAAGCCTCGTATAGGTATATCACTGTGGTTGGTGTTAAGTTTAAAGTTAGAGTTGGGTTCAGGGTTATTAGTTCCTTTGTTAGACGTCCATGTCGGGTATTAGCTGCTTAATAAACACACAAGTAGTGGTACCTTACAGATAGGTTGATGCAGAACTATATATATATATATATATATATATATATATATATATATATATATATATATATATATATATATATATATATATATATATATATATATATATATATATATATATATATATATATATATATATATATATATATATATATATATATATATATATATATATATATATATATATATATATATACACACATACACACAGACAACAGACACACAGACACACATACAGACACACAGGCAGACACACAGGCAGGCACACAGGCAGACTCACAGGCAGACACACAGACACAGACACACACACACACAGGCACACAAAGACAAACACACACACACACAGGCACACAAAGACAAACACACACAAACACACACAGGCATACACACACAGACACATACAGACACAGACAGACACAGACAGACACAGACACACACAGTAAAAACAAGACAAAATTGTTGTCTGGGCCTAGATAGTTTACAAACTTTACGTCAGAGATTTTATAATTTAAAACAAAATAAAAAAAAAACGCTAAAAATAAATAAAAAGGTGAGGTGAAAAAAGCTACACTGAATTTATTTATCCCTCTTGATTGCAGCGTTTCCACCCGTGCAAGCAGCTATTCTAGAAACAGAGTTAACACTTTTTTCCAAGTCTGTAGTTAGTGGCAGGACAGTGTGGCTTTCAAGCATTTACTTCCGGGCGGGGTTGGGGTGGGGGAGGTAAGGAGGGGTGCAGTGGACGTGCTTTTTGGGCGAACCGCGCCCTCCCAGGAGAAATGCCTGAAAGAAACTCTAGCTAGTCTGGGATAAGTGCTTGTCTGGACCTCTAGCAGAAAAAAAAAGAAATAGCCCTGAACTCACCCCCTCACCCCTCCTCGACTCTTTTCTTTTGAAGCAGGTTTAAATTTAGATTCAACTTTCATCCAACGGCCGTGACTATGTTTGTTTGATCTAATTATTCCCTGATTTTTTTCTTCAACACTTTTCTGGGTTTTTCCTTTACTGTTAACTAAACAAGGGAAGATAACTGTAACAGAGTTGTCTAACTGAGTTACGGAAAATTGTTGGTCGAACTCTGGGCTATATCGTTGACTTGTCAGGGGGGAGCAACTTGCCAGGTGTTGAGAAGAGTTTTGGTGGGTAGCCAGTACATGACTAGTGTGGGGGAGATGTGAGGGTAGCCACTACATGACCTGTGTGGAGGAGATGTGAGGGTAGCCAGTACATGACTAGTGTGGGGAGAGATGTGAGGGTAGCCAGTACATGACCTGTGTGGGGGAGATGTGAGGGTAGCCAGTACATGACCTGTGTGGGGGAGATGTGAGGGTAGCCAGTACATGACCTGTGTGGGGGAGATGTGAGGGTAGCCAGTACATGACTAGTGTGGGGGAGATGTGAGGGTAGCCAGTACATGACTTGTGTGGGGGAGATGTGAGGGTAGCCAGTACATGACTAGTGTGGGGGAGATGTGAGGGTAGCCAGTACATGACCTGTGTGGGGGAGATGTGAGGGTAGCCAGTACATGACTAGTGTGGGGGAGGAGATGTGAGGGTAGCCAGTACATGACCTGTGTGGGGGAGATGTGAGGGTAGCCAGTACATGACCTGTGTGGGGGAGATGTGAGGGTAGCCAGTACATGACCTGTGTGGGGGAGATGTGAGGGTAGCCAGTACGTGACTAGTGGGGCGAGATGTGAGGGTAGCCAGTACATGACTTGTGTGGGGGAGATGTGAGGGTAGCCAGTACATGACTTGTGTGGGGGAGATGTGAGGGTAGCCAGTACGTGACTAGTGGGGCGAGATGTGAGGGTAGCCAGTACATGACCTGTGTGGGGGAGATGTGAGGGTAGCCAGTACATGACTAGTGTGGGGGAGATGTGAGGGTAGCCAGTACATGACTAGTGTGGGGGAGATGTGAGGGTAGCCAGTACATGACCTGTGTGGGGGAGATGTGAGGGTAGCCAGTACATGACTAGTGTGGGGGGAGGAGATGTGAGGGTAGCCAGTACATGACTAGTGTGGGGGAGATGTGAGGGTAGCCAGTACATGACCTGTGTGGGGGAGATGTGAGGGTAGCCAGTACATGACTAGTGTGGGGGAGATGTTAGGGTAGCCACTACATGACCTGTGTGGGGGAGATGTGAGGGTAGCCAGTACATGACTAGTGTGGGGGAGATGTGAGGGTAGCCAGTAC